TTCATCGTTGTTATAAATCTATGAATTTGAGAATAAATTCGAATGATTTATGAAATTTCTTTTTATACGAATATTTTAAACACTTTCTCTGATTGTTTATAATGAAATTCAAATGTTTCTATTATACAAAAATATACAAAGTCAAAATAATATTAATACAATAATAACAGTAGGTAATAATGAAATAATAATAACAGACGATAATAAAAAACAATAATAATTTAATACAACACTGAATTTAGGAATAAATTCGAATAATTTATGATAATTTTTTTTTATACTATTATTTTAAATAATACTTTTGCTAATCGTTTATAATAAAATTCAAACGTTTCTATTATACAAAAATATACACAGACGTACACAAATTATTATTGTTTTTTATTATCTTCAGTTATTATTATTTCATTATTATCTACTGTTATTATTGTATTAATACGATTTTAATTTAATACAACGATATCAAAAACGACGACAAAACAGAATTTCATCGTTGTTATTAACCTATGAATTTAGGAATAAATTCGAATAATTTAACACGTTGAAAGTAGCATTTTTATTCCATTTCATTAATTTACACGTGTTTAAGTAGTTATTTGCATCCTACTAAATTATTAGTATCATTAAGCATACCGAGACATTAGTCGGAATATTTAAATATAAATTACGAATCGTGAATATTAAACGCGAATATTTTAACGTGAATTTCGACAGAGTCACGCGACGATTCATCGGAATATTTAAATTCGACGTAATTTGCCTCGTTCTTTACGAACAACCCGATACACTTCTACAGTGTATCATCATGCAATCATGTAGGATATTCGGCATACCGTGGTACGTGAAACGTGCAGTATAAAAAAATCGTGTAACTGTTCAATAATATCGGCACTTTTAGCAAATTTCCACGGACGATGATGGCAGCCCGAACGCTGAATGAAAGATTCATCATGGTAGGAACAGGTGTACACGATCGCAATAAATGAGAAAGCAAAAATTGCAGCTCCGATTTCATTCACCCCGTTCACGGTGCCATTATTTCCGTCATATTAATTCAGTTCACATATCAATAATAAATTCGCTGCCGGGTCGTTTAATGTGCTGTAATTATGTCCCGCGTTTAACCCGAGCCTGGTACCAATTTTTAAAATGTTTGTCACGTTCGGATACATAATACGTCGGTAGAAAATTCTTCCTGTGAATACGTGTAAAATGCTGGTCTTCCTGAAAACGATTTTTACGTTTAAGACACTACGATTATTAGCCACTTTTCAGACATACCTATTGACAGAGCTTAACTCTTTGTGGCACAGGATTTCAGATAACAAAATAGACCCATGTTGCACAGAAATTTGATTTTAATTCGTTTTAAATGAAACAAAATTGATATATTTTTACTAATAAAGGAATCACATAATGTAAAAATGTAAAACCAGGAAAAAAAGATTGTCGCAATAAACCTTCCATTTGCAACAATAATAATATTAAAAATTTTGTAGAAACTTTTCGTTCTATCTACTCTAGACTTCCAATCCTTTTTAGCTACGAATTTAACAATATTTTTATGTTGGGACAGGTGAAATCGGTAGCAGAGTATAGATATATAAAATATGTGTTAATGCATGTACTTGCGTAGAAGAATACTACCCCTAGCAGATGTTTCTGATCAAACTCAATTATTTTCGCCCCGATAATAAACAGAAATTTAAATTATTTCTCTCTTTTCCGTTTTTATTTCATATTAAATCGATTTAAAATCTCGTTATGATTTATGCTTATATTATGTCATTTTACACCTAAAATATTAATTTTGAATAGTTTTATATCATCGTCTTTGACCGGAAATTTTTAGCCAGGGGTAGTATCACAAGTTTTACATTTGCTACATTATGCGATGAAATGGTAAAATTAACTGTGATCTTTTATGTTCCTTGTGTAAATTTGAATTATTATATGCAGTAGAACGTCGATTAACTCTTTGAAGCACAGGATTTCGGATAATAAACTAGACTCATGTTGCACAGAAATTTGTATATGAAAAATTGGTATATTTTTACTAATAAAGGAATCACATAACGTAAAAGCATAAAACCAGGAAAAAAAGATTGTCGCAATAAACCTTCCATTTGCAACAATCGATGAACATGTACTGGCATATTGAATGTTGCCAACACGAGCGAATACATTTATAACATTTGTCGAAGGTATTACCAACTGCTTTACGTAAATAAGACGATATATAAACCTATGTACATGCAGCTATTGCAGTATTTCGAGGTGGGACTAAAAATGTCCCACCATGCATTACGGTGCATCAAATAGGTGGGGCACTTTTAATCCCAGCGTGTCCCAAAGAGTTAACCAAATTAATTGGAATTACAGGAATATCTATGAACAATCGTTTAGACGTAAAATTAGCGCGAAACAGATATCGATGTTATAAAGAATATCATGTATATACCATATACATTAACATAACAGCTATTTAAGTATTAACCCATTGTTATCGACGATTTTCTCGTTACAGAAAAATACCGATTCGAAGACCTTGCGCCATAAAATCGACGATATTTTTTCAAATAATAAATAAAAAACCGTATACAAATTAAAATCGCAAATTTCACTCGTTATTTGATGCGTTATTTTAAATTCAATATATTAATTGATATCGATCTTCAGAATTTTATTAAATAGTAACTAGATGTCCCCTCTCACGTGCAAAGGGTTATTATGATTTAGGCAATGTTTGCAACAGTATTTTGATAAAAATACCACGGTTATTCGTTTGTATCTTAGATCTTGCGGCAATAAAATAATTTTAAATCCTCAAAGGACTACGAATAAGGGTCTCCATTATTAGAGATCCCAGAATCTTCTCCCATCCCTTGAATCATTAAAATCTTCTCTAATCCCACCGTGCCTCAAAAAGTTAAGAAATAAGGAAACAAAGAACGTAGATTTCACAGACATATGGTGCTGGGTTCTGAATAGAATTTTGGGTTTGTTTATGCAGGAAAAATAAAAGTTAATTGTCATCATGTATGTGTGACACTGAACTTGTAATGGAAATCGATACGTCACATATTTCAAATTCAATGATCTGGTTGCAAAATGCAGATACAGGTCTATGACTGTCAGTTTATATAACAAAAGCAGTTTTACGATTATTGTGCTGTCATCTGATATGATATTATTGATACATGTTAATAGTAATCCGAAGACATCGTACAGGTGTATATAGAAAAGAGACATAGCCAAAATGGGAACATAATTCGTGAATAACATAATTTAGACAATATTGTTTTGATAATCAAATTTTTACTTGATTGATTTATTAAAACAGGTTCCAAGATCTTAACTATATTAAGTATCTCGGAAATATATATTCTAACAGTACTAAGGATGTAGTCAGTCACTCTTCAGCTCATTTCTGTACCATGAAAATCCAAGTTTCTAGCCAAAGACTGCATTCAATCTCTAACTAACCTCTTGGACTTTGATTGCAGTAAATATCTCAGAAATATATACTCCACAAGCCTCAAGGGTACTGTCAGTCAGTCTCACAGAGCAGGACATCTCTCCAGCTCATTCCTGTACTATAGAAATCCCAGATTCCAATCAAACCCTGCACCCAGATCTAACCTAAACTTTTTTGATCTCAACTACACCAAAAATCTAAGAAATATACACTCCAAAAGCATCAGAGATGCAGTCAGTCACTCTCATAAAGCAGAATATCTCTCCAGCTCATACCTATACTATGATAATCCAAGCTTCCAGCCAAACTCTGCACCCAAACCTAACCCAAACCTTGTGGACCTCGACTATACCAAATATTTGCATCATAAAAATCCAAACTTCCAACCAAGAACTTCATTTAATCCCTAATCAATCTATTATACCTCTACTGCACCAAAAATCTAAGAAATATATACTCTAAAATCATCAAGAATGCAGTCATTCACTCTCACAGACTATGACATCTCTCCAACTGATCCCTGCATCATGAAAATCCAAGCTTTCAGCCAAACTCTGCACCCAAATTTAACCCAAACCTTTTTTATCTCGACTACACCAAAAATCTGAGAAACGTACATTCAAAAAGTATCAGAGATGCAGCCAGTTACTTTCACAGAGTAGCACATCTCTCCAGCTTATTCCAGTACTATGAAAATTCAAGCTTCCAGCTAAACTCTGAACTCAAACCTAATCCAAACCTTCTGGACCTCGACTATACCAAATATTTCAGAAACGTACACTTCAAAATTATTAAGGATGCAATCAATTACTCTCACAGACCAGGACATCTTTCCAGCTCACCTCTGCATCATGAAAATCCAAACTTCCAACCAAGGACTTTACTTAATCCCTAACTAACCTATTATACCTTGATTACACCAAATATCTGAGAAACATATACTCCACAAGCATCAAGAATGCTGTCAATCACTCTCACATAGCAAGACATCTCTCTAGCTCATTCCTGTACCATGAAAATCCAAGCTTCTAGTCAAACCCTGCACTCAGAACTAACCCAAACTTTTTTGACCTCGACTACAGCAAATATCTCAAAAACATCCACTTAAAGCATCAAGGATGCAGTCAGTCACTCTCACAAAGCAGAATATCTCTCCAACTCATCCTTACACCAAGAAAATCCAAGCTTCCAGTCAAACCATGAGCTCAAACCTAATCCAAACCTTTTGGACCTCAACTATACCAAATATACTCCAAAATGATTAAAGAAGCTGTCATTCACTTTCACAGACTATGACATGTCTCCAACTCATCCCTGCACCCTAAAAATCCTAGCTTCCAGCTAAACCCTGCACCCAATCCCTCAGCAACCTTCGCCAGTCACCTAAACCACCTAAATTACCCAAATCATCCAACTCATTCGTGCAATAACCTTCCACGTGCTATCATCAGCACCTCGATCTTTACCCTAACGCGATCTCACGCGTGAGAACAGGACCGAAAAAGGATTTGTCTGGTTGCAGACGGAAGGAGAGGACATCAGCAAGCTGGAGAAAGCGGACATTCTGGAGCTGACGGTGCGTCATTTACAAAGGCTACAGGGCTCACGGTCTTCTGGATTGTCAGGCACGATTACGAGGAACGACGAGGTCTCTGCCGAAAGTCGCTGGATGTCCGGTTTCGGCCACTGCGCAGCTGAGGCCTACAGATTTCTCTCGGCTGTTCCAGGTGAAGGCGCGGAAAGGTTAGCGAGGCACCTCGCAGCTGGTCTTCAGAAGAGTCGGCAAACGAACTCCACGGTAATTATCTCGTCATCGACGATCGTGAGACAATGAGGCGAAAGTCTTAGCCATTCGATTATCCTTCGATGATTCGAGGTTGCCGCCCTCTTTCCGGTTTTCCCCGTGTCATCTATGGCGAGAGCAGATCGGTGGAGGATGTAGCTTGTCACGTTATCGTAGCTTCTGTCGTTCAATTTGTTCTGAAAAATTGTGTCAGGTGCGCGAGAGGTTCATTTTTTCTTTTCGTCATCTGCTTGTATAGTAGACGTACAGTATAGTAGCACGTTCATGTGCATTGTGAGGAATTTCGGCGAAAAACTGGCCGAAAATCAATTTTTCTAGTGTCAAACTGGTACCATGACACATTTGTTGTGTACATTTCAATGCATCAAATTTCGGGTGCAGAACTATGTTTTGCTATTATCACACATTTATCATTGAAATTTTGAAATATAATAACAATTTTCAATATGAATTTTATAATTTTTAATATTCGTTGGGTAATTTTTGGAATTTTTGAGAATTTGTTGTAGAGTTTGTTTTAAAATTTTTGTGTGATAAATTGCTTTACTATCACTATTCGAAAAATGAGTTTTTTTAACATCTTCAGGATTTTGTAGAGAAACTAACAATTTTGTGACAATAAAATAAATGCGATACGTGTAGAATATTTTCAAAACTATTTCTTGTTAGTATGATACATTTGTCATTGAAATTTTGAAATATAATAACAATTTTCAATATGAATTTTATAATTTTTAATATTCGTTGGGTAATTTTTGGAATTTTCGAGAATTTGTTGTAGAGTTTGTTTTAAAATTTTGGTGTGATAAATTGCTTTATTACTATCACTATTCGAAAAATGAGTTTTTCTAACATTTTCAGGATTTTGTAGAGAAACTAACAATTTTGTGACAATAAAATAAATGCGATACGTGTAGAATATTTTCAAAACTATTTCTTGTTAGTATGATACATTTGTCATTGAAATTTTGAAATATAATAACAATTTTCAATATGAATTTTATAATTTTTAATATTCGTTGGGTAATTTTTGGAATTTTTGAGAATTTGTTGTAGAGTTTATTTTAAAATTTTTGAGTGATAGAGAAATTGCTTTATTACCATCGGTATTCGAGAAAATCTCTTCAGGATTTTTGCATAGGAACTAATAATTTTTTGTGAATAAAATAAATGCGATACGAATAGAATATTTTCAAAACTATGTCTTGCTACTATGACACATTTGTCATTGAAATTTTGAAATATAGTAGCACTCTTCAATACGAATTTTAATTTATAATATCTCTTAGATTATTTTTTGAATTTTAGAGAATTTATTGTAGAGTGTACCTTAAAATTTTAGGGTGGTAGAAAAATTGCTTTATTATCCAAACAATGTGAGTTTTTATATCCTCTTCAGAAATTTTGCATAGAAACTAATAATTTTTTGTCAATAAAATAAATTTGATACGTATGGAATGTCAAATGCAAAACTATTTCTTGCTATTATGACACATTTGCCATTGATTTGAAATTTTGAGATATGATATCACGAATTTTAATTTATAATATCTATTGGGTAATTCTTGCAATTTTTGAGAATTTATTCTAAAGTTTATTTTAAAATTTTAGGGTGACAGAGATATTACCTTATTACCTTCACTATTCAAAAAATGTGTTTCTATCTTCTTTAAAATTTTTATATAGAAACTAATAATTTTATGTCAATAAAATAAATGCAATACGTATAGAACAGAATAATAAATAATTATTAATAAGTAATGAATTATTCAGATAAGTGATTTCGTAGTTCTGTTAACAAAATTTCAGTATATTTGAACATATTGATCGAAAATTTTTTAAAAATTTAGAAATCACATAGTTTTAATGGACTTAGGCTACTTTGGTTGCAAGCCAGAACACTGCATGTCACATATTTTGATTTTCGAAATATTATCGTTTAAAATTGCGAATATTAATTCTTCTTATAAAGATACTCTTTTGAAGATATGAAATTCGATTTTACCCACTTTCTGTTAATAAATATTCAATTCAATTAACGAACGCACTAATATTTTTTGAAATTATCACAGTATAATCACGATACTCTTCCTTACAATCACAAATAAATTTTACAAAAATAAATACGCCAGTATCACTAAATTTATCATATTCTAAACAAACATTTTAAAATTCCTAATTAAAATTTCGATGTTATTATAGTGGTCACTTTCTTTAAAATTTTTATCATTTTCAGTACCATTTTCAAATACTCCATTCTTTTTTAACCTCTTCAGGAACACTAACGCTTATATATACGTTTAATTTTTATAAAAATAGTGAAAAAATAATTAAAATCAGTTAAAGAACAATTCACCATAGAATCCTTCTTTGAAATCATTGTAACGTTATTTTTTTTAAAATTCGTTCTTTCAGGGGCTAAAAACGTGCCATTCTTATCCAAAACGAAGAATTAAAAATTAAAAGAAAAATAAAAATAAAATTAAAAGATTCATTCTCGTCTCAAAATTTAGGCGAGAGTCCATCAAGCTCATCGATGCCCGTAATTACAATTATTCGTGCCTCTGATTAATTATAATTAGCCATCGAGGCTTAAAAATCAAGGGCAGTAATTATAATCGATTATCGAGGTCCTCAAAGTCAACGAATTTTTGTCCCCAGATTTATAGCATGTTCGATGTAGCTCCGAAATTTGATGTTTTAAACATTTTCCCCATAAACTAAATTCTACAAGCATAAACATCGCGTCGTCGGTCGCGGACACTGAGTATAAGGTGAGTATTAAGTTATCGTTGGAAGGCTGCGAGGTAGGGTAGTAATTATTTTTCGAGGTAATGAGAGGTTGCGTTTTCGTAATTTTCGTCGACAGCCGAGCGAAGGAATACGAAATTCAGTGGTGTAATTTGAGGAAATGAAATAAGGACGTGGATGTAATTTGTCCCTCCCAGATTCTGCTCTCCACGATTCTCTGGCGATGTTAATACTAACTTTTTTTTTCTTCCTTTGCACGTGAATTCGGGTAATTTCATTTTTGGGTTATGGGTATTCCACTTTCCATGATTTCTACTGATTTTTCTTTGTTTGTGTCAACTGACATTTTCGTTCTTCGTGATCTTACGAGGAATACGAGAAATAAGAATTGGCATAATCAGATACGCTTAATATTCGATTAAATTTATTTCATTAAAAAATACAATATTTTAGAAAATTTAATTTGATTTGATTTATCGAAGAATGTTTGAAATATTTATTTAGCTAACCCTTTGCACTCGACGATTTTTTCTTTACAGGAAAATAGCAATTCGAAGACTTTCTGCCATAAAGTCGATAAAGACGATAATTTTAAAATGGTAAATAAGAAATCGTATAGAAATTAAGGCGTAGAATTATTTTACTTCGATATTCCACGCAGATGGATTAATCAGATTTTTAGAATCTGATTAAATGACGACTGAGAGTTAGGTTAGGTTTGGTCTGTCGAGTGCAAAGGGTTAATTAAGCGAGCAAGAAATATTTCTACGCTCATCTGGATCGAGAAATATAAAATATTCTGTTCCTAACAACAAACTCTTCGGTATTTACAATAAAATAAGATAAGAAATCGTATACAAATTAAGACGTAGAATTATTTTACTTCGACACTCCACGCACCATTGAGTAATTTTAAATTTGATATATTAATTAACGTCGATTCTTAGAATCCGATTAAATGACGACTGAGAGTTAGGTTAGGTTAGGTCTGTCGAGTGCAAAGGGTTAATTAAGCGAGCAAGAAATATTTCTACGCTCATCTGGATCGAGAAATATAAAATATTCTGTTCCTAACAACAAACTCTTCGGTATTTACAATAAAATAAGATAAGAAATCGTATACAAATTAAGACGTAGAATTATTTTACTTCGACACTCCACGCACCATTGGGTAATTTTAAATTTGATATATTAATTAACGTCGATTCTTAGAATCCGATTAAATGGCGACTAAGAGACCTCCTTTCGAGTGCAAAGGGTTAATTTTGAGATATTTTTAACGTTACAAGATTAAATACACTATTTTCAAGCTTTATTATTTATTTTTAAAATTTTTAATTAATTTATTTAATTTACGTTTTATTTCATAGGTAAAAACGAACGCGCTGACGCAAACATTGGCGAACCTGGAACTCACTGCTGATTTATTGACATCTTCGACCGCGAATTCAGCCATTGACAGTGTCCGAGTGACCTCTTCCAGGCAAAGTACGGTAGTTTACCGTGGATTACCTCGAGATGGTGTGAATTTTAACATATCATCTGACATCGACACTACGACTGCGAAAAGTAGCGAAAATTTGGACCCTAGATGCAACTCTGACACGAAAGACGTTAAAGAAGAGCGAGCATCGAAGAGGGTTAAAACGGAAGTCAAAGCTGAGGACGACGAAGAAATCGACGTGGAACGAGTCGACGAAGCTGATCCCATGTGGCGACCTTGGTAGCTTTTAGGGTTTTTCGATACCTTTAGGTTGTTTCAAAGTTGAATAATCAAATTTTCCAAATATTCCAAAATTTATATTCTACGAATGAGAGAAAAAGGTGTTACATAAGTGTAGACTTTAAATGAAAATTTATAGTAGTGTTATACACTATATGAAATATAGAATATTTTCATTTTGATATATTATCCATGCTTCATTTACGAATGAAAATTTGGTGAAGATTTAATTGTGAATTTTAACCCTTTGCACTCGACTTTGTCGTACCAGAAAAATAGTAACTCTAAGATTTTCTGCCATTTTTAAAACGGTAAATAAGAAATCGTATACAAATTAAAATTAATGTGGAATTATTTTACTTCGACATTGGACGCATTATTGCGTAATTTTGAATTTGATATATTAATTAACATAAATCTCTGATTAAATGGCATTTGAAGGTTGCCTCTCGCGTGCAAAGGGTTAATGATGACTCGTCAAAATTTACGATCTTGATTCTAATTTTTTGAAATAATTTTTGCTATATTACATTTTTGTTTTTATTTACAGAATATGTAATATAAGTTTGATTTATTCACTTTGGAACATTCTCTGTATTATTTTTTATTAATGAAACTGGCTTGCGTAAGAGAGTGCTGTTAATTTACGTAAGTGTAGGTAAATGTGAAGATCATTTATGTTAAGATCAAAGAGAGCAACAGGTGCACTATTACTATAGCTTTAAACGCGTTACATTTATTTCTGTCGCGTAAACGTAATTATTCGAAGTTAATTTTGTTAAATTTTTACTCGTATTAATATTACTGTATCTTTATTTACGTAAGTAATAATTCACTGTTGTGTATTGCTATCTCGATTATTTACAACAGGATTTACGTTTTTGGAGAAAATATTATTCTATTACTTTAAATATGTTGGCAGCTTTTGCAAATATTAAAAATTATTATTTTACAATAATTGATAAGTTGTTATGTTATAATAAATGACATATTTGTTATAAATAATTTTAATTTTTTGGTGGATATTTTACAAATAAAAATATTCAAAGGACTATAATTACTATGATTATAATTACTGTTAATTTTATATTTTGGATGTCGAAACTGGAACCAGATGAAATAATTTTTTAAACATTTTATCTAATATTTTGATAAATTTTGCTGAACAACATATTTCGAGGAAAATTTAATATTTCAACAATCTCTCTCAATAACTTCGTTTAATTTATTCGAAATTATTTGATAAACGATACGTACATATTTCTTAATATAATTATTTAGTAAGTTTCAGAATTATTATAAACTAAGTTCTTTCTTGCGTTTTTAGAAAAGAAATACTTTTCAGTAACACAATTTAGCTTTATATTGAGTAGCATATAAATGATCCTACATTATGTTAACTCAAATCGTATTTTAATATAATTCTTTATTTCACTTTATTATACTAATTGTATCGTTATGTTGATCTTCTTACATAGCATTAGGATGTTCAGTATTTTAGTATAGTTAATTAATTTACATAATTCATTATCAAATTTACAACTTTCAGGTAACTAATGTTTAAATTATGTAATTTATTTTGAATTCCTCTTTTTTTATTTAATAATAATTTTAAATAATTTTTTAAATGTAATTTCTATTAAGTATTAACTATTAACGAGACTTGAAACATATCATGGAAGTATAATTATAGATGTGAATAATATCAAGTGCCTCTAATATATATATATACATATACGTACTGTTAACTGAAACTTATGAAAATACACTTATACAAATGACTTATGAGTGAAATATATACATTAAATAATAGTATTAGGAACGATATGACATATATAATAAGGAGAAAGTCCTAAAAAATATATCAGTAGTGTAAGAAAATAATTTATATATATATATACATATACAGTATTTATAGTATGTACAGTTATTACAGATACAAAGTATAGTGATGCTAGTATACTCAAGGGAAATTTTTCTTAGAACTGGTATAATTGCAACAGATGAATTGTCAACATACTGAAATTTTATTTTTTAAAGTATAGTGATGCTTGTATACTCAAGGGAAATTTTTCTTAGAACTGGTATTGCAACAGATGAATTGTCAATATACTGAAATTTTATTTTTTAAAGTATAGTGATGCTAGTGTACTCAAGAGAAATTTTTCTTAGAACTGGTATAATTACAACAGATGAATTGTCAACATACTGAAATTTTATTTTTTAATTAACAGTAGCTTCGACTTTTATTATATCCTGAATTCGAATAATTTTTCAATCCATTTATAAATGTACTATGAGCACTGTATATATTATCAAATTATTTTTCTAATTTTATTAATATAATCTTGAGACTTACCTTTCGCTATATACAATGTATGGCTGTATATTGTATCGCTTCTTATATTTCATTTTAATGTATTTATTTTGCTCGTGAAACACAACAAACACTAAATTTGTATTTAATTTGTGAATTTTTGTATGACGTGTATGAGAGTACATAGTAAAGATCTTCCAATCTTTAACTTCATATAGACATCAACAAAACAAAATAACAGTGCAATAATATTGTAACAGATTGTAACGCAAATTTAATACAAGTAGTGTTTAAAAAGATAGTTTAAAAATAGTTTAGATAATAATGTTTATTCGTTTCACTGAAATTTGTGTGAGAACTTTAAATTTTACTATCTGGTAATTTTATACATACGATTTAATGATGGTTAAAGTAACTATATTTTGTGAAGTTCGCTGCTATTTATATATTTGTTATTACATGCATAACTAATTTTAAATTAAATAATTTTATTGAAGAAATAGTGTTAGCTAGTTTTAATTCATTTAACTTATATAATTTATTTCTTAGCATTAATTTATTGTAAATTTATCGTAATTTATTATATTTATAAACATGAAACTTGGTATTGTTAGAAATAATCGATCTCATTATTTAGGATGTAATTTATAGTAAGTAAAATGATAATGTAAGAACGAAATAATTATTTAAGATTCTTTATTCTTGTAGATCTATAGTACGAATAAGGAAAATTGATAAAAGATCTATTATACACTTCTTGCAGTAAAATTATGTTTGAGGTATAATCTAATTTTGAAATTTTCGAAATTCGAAGCTCTCAACAAAAATTTTTAATATATCTTTGTTAATCATAATTAAATAAAATAGAAATAAAAACATAAGAAATTTTAAAACAAATTCTATACGTAAAATTTTCTTCATTAATTTTATATTTCTTTATCTATTTTTTGGAAATTTCGAATCACAATATCGTGTAAAATCGCGAATTCTCAAAATTCGATGCTTTTTTAAGTTTAATGGAAGTTCGAACTTTCGAAGAAAAAGTATTTTATGTTAAGAGAAAATTTTATTGTTCTCTTTTTTTAAATAATGTAAAAATATTACTAATCATTATCACCTATCCTTTATTCTATGAATTCAAATTCCAATTTTTTTTCCTTATGTATGTTTACATTTGAAAAATATAAAACACTTGTTGCACAATAATTATTAGAAATTGGATATTCATATATTACCATAATTACTTATATTAAATAAATATAGTATTAATCATATACAAATTGTGATGTCTGGAAAAACATAATTTTAATTCTGTATATCGTTTTATACAGCAATAATTTTTAAATATTTGGGACAAGTTTAATAATAATTTAATAATAATTCTTATTATTAATAATAATAAATCTAAGAAATAATTAATATATATTATATTCCTGTTTATACGTAGATTCTTTAATACCATATCAATCATTATCTATTATTAAATACCCTTGTCTTTCAACCATAAGTAACGTCTAATAAATATTGTTAAACAATATTTACCGAATTCAATAAGAAGATACTTCAAGGCTGAACATGAAACGTTAAACAAGAACTTTAATTAGGATTAACGAATATACGGTATTATTATACAATGGTGATAAATATTTTGGTACTTGGCTTTAATGTAATACAATATGCTAAATTTTTCTATACTTGCGTGATATGTATAACAGTGTATTAATATTTAAGTTATTTGTTTAAAAAATGGTCTCCTTATATAAAGTGACAAGGATAATAAAATAAATAAAAAAAAAAACTATCTTACGAATAAAATGACAAAATTATATTTAATTTAATTAATCAGATTAATTTTTTAAATATTTTGAAATATCATTTTTATGTATAACTATGAATTTTCATAATATTTTATATCGGTATAAGTTAATTGCTTTAAAAATCCAGATAATAAACATTAATAAATGGGACAACGATATCTTTACTTGCAAGTTAATTATTAAATTTGCAAGCTTTTATTTCATTAATTAATTATTATTCAAGTATTATTAATTTATTATTTTTCGTTTTACTCCTTTGATTACTTCTTTTAAGAAAACCATTTTTTTCACTTGTAGTATATCACTTTATAGTAGTAAAAATTGATTATTGTACCCGTTACAATATTTGTGTTTAAATTTAAATTAATATTAATTATTTAACAATGATACAATAAAGAAAAAGAATTTTGAAATTGGGAGTATTATTAAACCGAATACCTATCTATTTAAAACATGTTCAAAATTATCACATTGGGATTGTAAAAAATATTTTTAAAATATAAAACAAGTTTCATTGACAAAGATATATTTACCTCCTTTTTATTATTTTTATGAATCTATTTATGACATATTTTCATTCGTCAGGGCCGTAGTCACACGTAATTATCGCCCAATAGATCTCATATTTTTATATGTATAACATGTATATGCTCTCATGTACTCTTTTATACTAATCATAAAATTATATGAAATTTCTCTGAACCATTTGCCATTTGAAACAGGTTCGTTATTCCATGCATAATTATGAATGACTTTTTAATATAGTAGTTAAAAAATAAACTCCCACCTAATTTTCAAGATGAGAATGAATCTTCCAACGTTTTTATTTTTCATTTATTTTTCATTTTAGTCAAAAATATAAAGGAAATA